GTGACGAGTGAGTTAGGTAAAGTCTTAGCTTTAGTGAATCATTTAAAATATACAGTATACAAACGTTTAATAAAGCACATGTATCTAGCCTGACCTAGGGTTTAAAAAAAAAAAAAAACTTAACAAGAATAAGATTTTATATTTAAAAAATTATTTTTATAATTATTATAAAATATTTTTAATGATAATATAAAAAGTAATTAGTAAACTTTATTAAAAAATAAAAAAAAATTTTTAAAAACTAATTTAAAATAATTAATATAAATTAAAAATTAAAAATTATTGAAAAAAAAATTAAAAATTAAAATATAATTTGATTGATTAAGAAATATAAAATTCAAAAAAAAAAAACATATTATAATTATCTTAAGTAATAAAAATTAAAAAGAAATCTTATAGATATATATATAAATCAGTACATTAAAAATTAAAATTAAATAAATCTTTTGAAATTCAAAATAATGATTATAAAACTATAAACAGAATTTCAAATAATCTATAATAATAATCTATATATTATAAGTTTATTAATTAAAGATTATTTAAATTAGTAAAGAAACAAAATATTATCTTCTAAATTATATTTAGAATAATAGTTTTAGCGATAAATAAGTTAACATATAGTATGAAAGTCAAATCAATTTGTACTATAAATATTATATATACAATAAAGACAAGTCACAATTTGCTTTTTTGGATTAGATTTTTTCTATATATAGATCCCTAACACAGTAGCCAATCAGCAAAAAGTTATTTTACAGACGTTTAATAAATTAGATTCTTTACGCTTTCCGAGGTTTGAGTTTAAATCAGCAAGTTGATTTGAGTCATGGAGGTCACAGAAGAAGAGTGGACTGTTCATGATGTCATCCTAGGATGTGGGCAGGTAATTTATATGCATGTGACTTTGAAGTAACATTTTCTTATTATATGCCTTAAACAGGGATTTACAGACGAGATTAAAATTCATGAATTAGTAGAAGAAGTTTTGCCGGGTACTACATGGACTCAGTTACAAGAGATATTGAATAGTTTACTTTCTTTCGTAGGTGTGGAGTAATTCATTTGGTTTTATCCTGATTTCATGTTAATAAGTTTTATTGCATAGGGCTTGGTGAGAAAACGTCAAACACACGACGAAAGATTTTTATATCAAGCTCGTACGAAGGAGATAGCAAATAAGTACGAATTATTTTCGTTTTATTCCTAGATGTCTTCACAATGGTTAGATCATATAAATTTTTCCTTTAGATTGCAATATCTTGATGATCAAGAATATGAAATATATGAACTCATCGAAAATTCTGAACGCAAGGGTAATTTTAATTTATATGTTGCCCATAAATCTTGAACCAAAAATAATTGTTGAATATAAATCCTAGGTATTGCGAAATCAGACATCCAAAAACAGACAAAAATTGTTCAATCGATAGTTGAAAACTGTTTGAAAATTATGCAAGATCGCAAATTGATTAAAGAAGTCAAACCCAAAGTAATTCTATATCTCAGAATGCGTTCCTGAATATTTAAATGGTATACAAAATATTTTCATGATTTATTCTATTTAGAACAAAAAATTGTACATGCTGTTTGACATCAAACCAGCGGATGAATCTCTCAGTAGATTACTATACACTAACGGAGAGCCGGACACAGTAGTTGTAGAGACATTAAAAACATTATGTTATAGTTTTATATACCATAGAGTATGTATATTTTGTTTTATACAGATACCAAGCATCATAATATTAATTATTATTTTTCTATAACAAGAGTTTCCCGAAAGATATGGATACAAATGCTGTATTTTATCCAGGTTATTCTGCATATCCTACTCTTGCAAAAGTTGTTCAATGTGTACAAGAAACAAAAGTTACCGAATTAGAGGTTGAAGAAGCCGACATACGGCAGATCTTGGAAGTACTTATTTATGAAGGAAAAATTGTGAAAAAATTTTCTGGTGGTTTACCAGATCATAATAGTTCGAGTTCTAATGAGGGGCGTCACGAATCTCAAGTGGTTTATATGGCTAAAAAACCAAAATCGATGAATAATTCCTGGACTCCAACACCTTGTGGCAGGTGCCCTGTATGTATTAATTATCAAATTTTTCAGTTATGTATTATGCATAAGTATATATCTAACATAATAATAAAGTATTTTAAGGATGAATGTTCTGAAGATGGAGACATCTCGCCAACCAACTGTGTGTTCTTTCCCCAATGGTTAAATAAAGGAATTGAATTATTCCATGAGAAGAATAGATCGAAAGGGAAAGAACTTAGTTGGTGAATGACAATTTCTATATGGAACAAAGTAATAGGTATTTTTTATAAATCAGGGGAGGTTTTAACCCAAATTATATATTCGATTGAAGCACACGAAGTTTATTAATACAAATTGTTATATCGATTTACATTATCTTCTTAAATTAATATAATAGAAGGGGCATTTAAAACTTCAACACAGGCTATAGGATAACGTATAAAGGGATCTTTTCCACTGATAGAGTACTTTCCGGCTCATTCCTGAACACGCTCCGGACAAAAATGTGCATCTCCGATAGGCTGGTGATAATATACAAAATTTTGATTTAACTTAATGAACATAACGTTCGGGATCACTGTGGATTCTGTTAACATTTGTCCATATTGATAAATTTATAGACCTTTTATTGACTTATTATACATGAACTTAACTCAATATACTGTCGATCAATAAAGTTACACTATAATGAATCGATCTGAATTTTGGTTTGATAACAAATTTATTTTATTTATAAGCTTTATAAAAATATCAAATAATTGTGATAAAAGATTATTATTGTTACGCAGTATAAAGAAAAATATATATTTGTAATTTCAATTTTAGCTTGTAATATTTTAGAAAATAAATTAATCTTTTTTTAAAAAAATTATTTAAGAAAGCATAATATTATTTTTTAAATTGTACTAAATTAATAAGTTAGTTGTATTATAATTTTTTTTTTTTTTTTTTAAATCTGCAGTCAGGTCAACATGGCATGTCTTTATTGTATATGTGCAAAATATTTGCAAATTTGTTATAACTTTCACATGTTAACTCACGTGTCATAAAAAAACTAATTCTCTAGATTCAACCTAGAGAATGATATTTCACTCTTTTACTAATTTGGATTAATCTTAAATCAGTAAAATTATCACCTACAGGTTATTACTATATATTATTCTAAGTTTTGTTTACAATTTAAAATCTGAACCATTTAATATCATGATAGACTTATTCTCTAATAATTTTATATAACCCTTTTCTTTTTTCTTCTTTCATTTTTTTGTTCCATATTTTCTATTAGAGGTGACATTGGTTCTTTAAGATTTTATATGATCAATATATTCAATCTATCTTTACATTTCTTTGTTTATTTCTTTTATTTAATGATATTTAATTTCTTCTTCTAGTTTATTACTTCAATACAATAACTGTTTCAAATCTTTTTCTTGAAATTTTTTCATATATTCTGATAAAACTTGTTAATTATAAACTATGTGGCTATTAAAAAGATCTTCAGTTTAGATAATTCTTTATATATTTGATCCTGTTTTTTTTTAAATATTCACATATAATATTGAAAAGACTTCTATCTGATTGTTAAATCTCTTTTAACCAATTATTTATTCAATTAGTAGTCTTAAGTAAAACTTCTTTCTTGTTTTCTATTTTTTTAACAATATAAAGATCAATTATTTCATATGATTTCTTCTATATATCTTTTCTAACTTCTTTTGTAATTGGGTATTCAAGAAAATGACTTAATGTTTTTTCTTGTAATTTGTATAAGAAACAGATAATTAGTAAATAAACTTCTTTTTTTCTTTTCTAAGTATTTATAGTATCAAAAATTTATTATAAATCTGATTTGTTAAGAAGCTATTATTTTTATTGACATTGAAGGATATATTGAATGGATTGAACTAATTTTAGATAATTATCTAATCTATATTTTTGTTTTGTTAAATCCAAAGATTCTAAATTCTCTTTTATAATATTCAGTCTAAATCAATTTTTTTTATTTTACTATTTTAATAAAATCTTTGATATTAATATCTATTATATGTTTTTTCTATAAAACTATTGTCAAGACTTTCTCAAGATCTGATAATTGGTATTATTATGTTTGATATATTTAATAAAGAAATTTATATAATTGTTAAGATTGTTGATACTATAGATTTTGACTTTCTTAATTTCAAGAATAAGATCTTTTTTCTGAACCAAGTCTTGAATTTTATTCTATAATGGCCAGTTAACATTTTTTATTTATCTTCTTATTGATACTTCTTTTTGCAAGTAGATAGATTTCTATGCTTTGATAGCAATACTACAGTTTGTAATAATTAGAACTATTGTACTTTAAGAAGTTATATGTAAAGTAGTAAGAATAATTAATACCTTTACTCTAGTTCCTAATGGTTATAGTATCACTCTTATTGAGAACTGCTTAATAATCTTGTTATTTTCTACTAAAATTTATATAAAATCTATTTCTAATTTACTATTTTTAATCAGTTTCTTAAAAGAACTATCTATATAAAATATAAAAAATTATCTATTTTTATTTTATTATATTTTAAAATATCTATCAATTTATCCTGATATTCTTTCAATTGAATAGCTTATTTAATCAATATATTTTTTTAGTTTTTTACTTATATCTTTAGTTCAATAGAGTTATAATTGAAAGAAATTATTCTTGAATAATTTACAAATATTCA